AAGTTTATCGCTGCTCCATGAGAAGCTTTTTGTTCATGGAGGCATGCTTGGATGGTAAAAGCAAGGAGGGGCTGGATTGATTAATGATCAGCTCACATATCAAAGCCAACTAATCCAGACCGTCTTTTTTTCCTTCCTGCTTTGTGAACAACCTCCTCATCCTTACTGTGCATTTGTTAGGTCTAAGTTACAAAATTAAACCAATACGCTCTAATCACACACTGCCCCTGCGTTAGCTCCGATGATTAATGGGCTTTTCTTCTCCCTGCCAGCGCATGCCTTTCCTTAAATGAACTACAAATGTTCTGTTATGGATTGACATGCGAGCCCAAAGACTCCAACGCGGTTAGTTTCCACTGCATAAGAATTTGCTGATGTTGCCATTGACCTCATTAGAAAGCACGGTGCTGACCTTTTTCTGATTTTTGATACTGGCTTCATCTGATAAAATCTTCCCATGGTGGTCAGTGTGTGTATGCTTGCTGTTTTCATAGAATGCATTACCGTCTGTTCACATAATTTCCCTTTGTGTCTCCGGCACTCTCAGTCTCTTCCACTTAAGTTTGTTCTGCCAGATGGCGGTCAGAGCTGAGCCAGTGATCTCCTGGCTCCTTCATGTGTCACCGCGTGGCCTAATCTCATTCACACACAATTAACCGGGGTTGACAGGAAGACGTTTGAGACAGACCAGAGTTATGAGTTGCAATTGTTATGAAAATGAAATGGAAAGAAACACTAAATGGGTTCGGATTTGTTGTTCCTGGAGGAGATCCAGACTCTCCTGTCAAGCTCAAGACTCGAGGGCAAAGAATATGCCCAAAGTTGTGTGTGCTTGTTTTAGTACTCAACTGATTTTACACTCCTATGACATTGCAGACTCACATTTTTTTGTCATAAACAGTTAAAGAAAATCAATGCAGCAGAACCAGAGATATTGCCTTTTTTATTTTATGCATTCTTTGTCCTTGTCAAAAGTCTGGTGCCTACATTACCCACAAAGCAATTCGACCATGACAGTTCAGTAGCAGATTCAGGTGTGTTGCAGTAGCAGTTCATGCAGCTTTCTAACTCCACGCCCCATGAATCATATATTTGAACTGTATCCATATGTACTGCAGATACACAAATAAACGTAAAAAAACCTCTTTCAATTGTCATATACAGGTACATTCATGACATTTGACCGTCGCATTTAACCCACCCTAACTATTTTAGGAGCAGTGCTGACAACTTGGGTTTCAGTGTCTTGCTCAAGAACACTTTGACGTGCAGACTGTAGCAGCTGGGGAACGAACTGTACTCAACCCTGAGCCAACCCTACAACAACATACAGCCATCTGCAACCATCGCATAGCTGAGACCATCGCATAGCAGAGGAAAATGACCAAACAATTGGTTCCAGCGGTCCTGAACAGATTTTCTGCTTTCACCTGCTACTCTGCAGCTTCCTGCTGTCAGCGAGACGATATGCCAGCTGGCAGTCCGCTGACTTTGTTGGAGAAGGCTTAGTCACTACGAAGCCGTGCCCAAAACACAGTCAGAAATAATAATATAATGTGAAGTATTTATCCAGAAGCAGATTAACGCGTGGGGATTAGGACAAATCACCAGAACTTTTACTTCTCGTTAACATTTAGAATAATCTTGTATTTAGATTCGTTACTCAAAGACGTCTCTCCCCTCAGTGGTAGGAAGTAACAAAGTACATTTACTCAAATACTGTACTTAAGTAGATTTTGAGATGAGACAGCTTAGACTACTTTTCAGATTAAGACTTTACATATAAAACACATGATAACTAGAGACGCAAACACATAGTTAAGACTAAATCAGGGGTTCAGGACCTTTTTGGCTAGTTCAAGTCCAGTCGGGGCTCCTCAGATGTCTATGAGACTTTTCCCCTATAAAATGGTTTCATTAGATAATTAAGGCCGAAAGAGGTCAAATCATACAATATAACAAAAGCAATTGCAGAAAAATAAATAAAGTTTTCTTCTTTCCTCTCCCGTTAACCATCTCACGTCCCTCAGGTTTATCATGGGACCCTTTAAAGTGGCCGACCCGCCTGATATCCCACAGAATTGTCAACTCGTTACACTCGGTTTCCATCTTCAGTCCGACATTGCCTCCACTCAAATCAATTTTCATTGGTGATTTGGGTTTTCACTAACCAATCACTAGACACCAACGTATCTACCCGAATCCATCGTCACTTTAAGGCGACAGGTGACGTGTTGCCATGACATGTCTGTAGTCCCTGACTCAGAGATGTCGGGGTAATTCTCCCTTATAGAACCGTGTCTTTTCTAGGAGGATTTGTATTCATTTTTTTACTTGTAAGGGTTGAAGATATACAATGTGCTGTAAAGAGGTGGCAGTCGGAGCTCAACATAACGGTTACAGTAACGAAGATCTGGACCCAGGCAAGGGGCCGACCCCTAGGTTGGGAACCATTTTACAAACTACCTAACTGTATATAAAGTACTTAAAACTAGCTCCATCTCAACCAGCTACAATACTTAACTGCTGCTTATGAATTGATGCATCACCATTTACAATTAATAATGTCCTATATAATAATAATGGGGCTATTTTTCTGCATAATGCGTGCTTTTACTTTTGATACTTTGAGTACACTTGCTGATAACACCCCTGTACTTTTAATAGTAATGGAGTATTTACACATCAGTGTGTTCTGGTATTTTTACACAGGATCCGAGGACTTCTTCTACCACTGTCACACAATATGCCTGTAGCCTGGAGGAGAAAAAGAGGGCAGATCATTGTCTAGATAAAACTACCTTATGACATACTTCCACAGGCAAACATATGGAAACACTTCAGCCAGTGTCTCTGTGTGTGTGTGTGTACGTTTTTCTGAACATACTGTCTGTGTTGGTCATGCATCTCTGCAGTACGATGAATTATACACAGACTTCTCAGCAGCCATTTGCTTGAGTGTCTTGCATATTCCCTCAGTATCGCGGAGAATCTATTTCCCCACGCACTTCAGGCTTGGTTCCGATTGATCGTCTGTTAAACTGCTAGTGTCTGAGAGACACAGTCTGCCAGGAAGCCTTACTACTGTGACTCCGGGTCCACAGCATACAGACAAGAAGGAAACAAGGTCCGTCATCACAACACAGGGCAAATCAAGCTAATTAGAAGAGATGTGTGATTTGATTGCAAGTGCTTGGCACAAAGTTGGCCAAATCTCGCCCCCACATGCACCCTGAACACAGTACATGGCTCTATTTGGAAAGTGGGACCTGGCAGCCTGGATGGAGAGACGTCTCCAACACAACAAGTCTCACCATCACACACACATTGAGACAAAGTTATCAGCTATAAGAGCAATGAAGTGAGATTCATGAGTAAATTTGCACTTCATGTACACCTCCACAAATCTGTCTGAAGTGGCATGAAATGAGAGTGGAGGTGGAAGTAAGGGAGGTGATGTAATCAGAACAATACAATCAAGATAATGAAGGCTACAGCTGCCACAGTTAGTTGATTAACTGATCAGCCGATGGAGAGAAAATGAACCGTTTGGATAATCTACACATCTAAACAGTTATCAAACGTGAGAATTGTCTGCTTTTCCCAGTCTTCCATTACAGTAAACTGAATATTGTTTTAGGTTTGGACTGTAAGACAGACAAAACTAGACATTTATTGTTCATCATCTTTAGCTCTAGTATATTGAATTGGACACTTTTCACTCTCGCTGAAAATGACAGTGTTTAAATTGAGCCAGTTTGGTTTGATACAGCGGCACAGACGGGTTATTTTGACCTAGTGTTTGCTCAAGTTTTACCTTAAAACGGACACAATGTATTGTTCATTTTTCCAAAACAATGTGACATTGAAAACTGCAAAAGGATGCACATATTATTGAAACTATTGTTGAATGTATACACTGTATGCTTTACAGGCCAAAAATACTTGGCAGTTTCGTAGATAATGAAGATAATAGTTTATTGCATCCCAAATTAAAACGGCTCAAAGCTTGATGAAGGCATCACATGCTGTCATGCTCGATCACTCTGCACTAACACACTCGCTATCACAAGTTCTTGGCAAACAATGCTCAGCTAGGGAGTCTTGTGGAAAGAGGAAGGAACTGGTGTGTCACGTCAGTAAAAGGGAGAGCCTTTACATAATACCAGCTAGTGTACCACAGTACACAAACTGACAAATGACTTTAAGAAGAGACCGCACAGGGAGCAGGTTAGGATATGCAAACAGCTTGGGCACACACAACCGTTGGAGCTTCAAACAGAAGGCTGCATATCTCTAGGCAGTTCGCCTCCCCCCCCCCCCCCCCAAAAAAAAAAAAAAAAAAAGTGTTTCACCACGCTGTGAAGGCAAATCAGCAACACATGATGTGGTCTGTCTGTCACCGAGACCCCCTGCCTTCATGCGTTTATGGCCTCGGGATGTGTGTGTGCGCACTCACAGGTGTCCAGTTGTGCCTCATACGACTACAGCAAGGGATTCGATCCCTCAAATCATCTCCTGTATTAAAAACCTGCACAAGCGCTGAGGCTCATGATTTGGACGGCATTTAGCCACTGCTCGGCTGCCCAATCAAACTCAGGTTTTGGCTCTGGACGGCGTCCTGACACTAAGAAGCTTTGACAACATTGTAGAGTCAGGTGCAGACGAAATGTATCCGTGCGTAACGCTTCCCACCACAGTCCGGTGGTTAGAAATGGATAGCGCACGGTGTTAAGATGAGAAATTACGAAATGAACAAAAGACTTTCGGATGTGATTTTGACCAGAGAGGTGAAAAAACACACTACACTCTTTAGAAATACTGCAGATTTTGGCTACCCCCCCATCCAGAAGGTGAAAGACAGATCATCGTGTGGCCATATGTAGAGTGACACTTCTTTGCAGGACACTGCAGTTCATGTGGGATAGTCTCTAGCCGATTTGATCGCCCTCTTGTCCCAGACAAAATAAATCGTCCCCCTCAAACAAAAGAGGACCTACCTGGTAATCTCGAAGCTGCAACCTTTCCGAAGGAGCAAGGCTCTCTTCCGCATGATGCCTTTGTCTCTGCCGAGGTACACATTTTTATCTGAATTCATGGGTGCTGGGTAGACTCGGGGAAACAGCAGCGCCTTTTTTTTTTTGGGAAGGAAAAAATAAAAGTTAAAAAAAAAAATGCGAGACTTGCGAGAAGCGGAAGGGGGAAATTGAAACGGACTACTCGAAAAAGAGGAGGAGAAAAAAAAAAATCCTCTGACGCTTGGTCCACCTCAGAGGTGCAAGGAAAGTGATCTTGCAGACTTTTCCCCTTCAGGCCAGACACAAGACGGTGTTGTCGGAGCTTTTAGAGGTGCATGATGTCGGTGGTATTTCCATACGGACAGGCTGTGGAGGAGCTGCAGCAGTTGTCAACCTGAGCGGAATGCGCTGAATCTTGAACTGTGGAGCTCACAGCGCTCCTTCAGCTTCAGCCCGGCACTGAGCGGCTGCTTATGACTTCACGAGACTGATGGGGAGAGAGAGAGAGATAGGGAGAGGGAGAGAGAGAGAGAGAGAGAGAGGGAGAGAGAGAGAGAGAGGGAGAGGGAGAGGGAGAGAGAGAGAGAGAGAGAGAGAGAGAGAGAGAGAGAGAGAGAGAGGGAGGTTGCTGCTCAGACTATAAATGAGAGTGAGTTGAAATGAAGTTATTATGTGGGTGAGAAAGGAATAGAGAGTCAGAATAAACATGACTGTCTGTGTCTGTGTTCAAGCCTATGTGTAACATAGTGCTGCGATTGTCTTTTGACAATCAACACAGTTTTTCAATTAATAGCTTCTACCAAATGAGACATACAATATACTATTTTTCTCCTTTAAAAATAAATAGAATCAAGTTACATTTTTGATTTTGGATGAGAGCAATATTTGCAACCTGGAGTATTACTTTTAAATATTTGATATATTTTATTTTTACATGTAGTGCAGACCGGCTCATTTGATGCAACGGGACAACAGTTCTTTGGTCGTTGGATCCTCTTTTGTGGTTTTCTGCAAACCATTACTGACTTTTAAGCATGTTTCCTTCTCACTCAGTCTGGATTAGTGGATTGTTTACTCATGGATTCACTTTATTAGCTTCAGATTAAAAAATAAAGGTAAAAGCACAATTTATATTTCAATAAGATATCCCAACTCACCCCCAAACAGTAGAGGAGACCTTGAAGCAATGTTTACTCTGCTAAAACAACGCTCTGCTACCCAGCTGTGGGTGAATTAGGTGATTAGCTGTAAACATATAATGGTGTGGGTTGGGGTTGCATCCTGTGCTCTATTAAGGTGAGATGATGAGGGGTTATTCAGAGGGCACCCAGAGAGAGACTAAGTATCGGCCAGTTCACACGAGGTCAGTCTGTGTGTGTGTCTATCCATCCATCCATGAAAAGGCCAATGATGTCAAAGAGCCAGTTATTTCCTTCAGGAGTTGGTAGAGACCAAAACAGAGCTAAAAGAGAGTGAACAATGGACTTAATTTAATGAGGTGGACACAAACACGACTCCAAATGAATTATAATGTTCTGGCGTAACTGTTAAATTTGCTAACAACAGCTTACATTAGCCCACCACAAGCTACTCTGTGTGTTGATTCAAGCACAGGTGAGTTTTAATGCGTATGAATTCCAGTTTCCATCTATAAGAGGAAGATGTATGTCTTCTTTCAAAAGTGACAGTAAATCTCATTATTACTGTGCACGGTTCAAATTAATCTGAGAATAATGTGGCAACAACCTCTTCCACGGAAAGGAAAGATATACTGTATATAACAGCACATCATCTCTGTGGTTTCTACTTTCATCAGTCAATAATCATGTAGTTGTTGTAGGTTGTTGGTTCTACATTTCACCCTTTCCATCCAATAGAAGAAAAAGTAAGCAGATGACTCCCACACACTGTATGTATTCACACACACACACACACACACACACACACACACACACACACACACAC